TTGAGACTGACATTTTTAATAACAACATTAAAAAAGCGCTTGAAGAAACTGGTACTTGATTTTTTTTATCTGATCTGTCAGTTCTCATGCCTATAGCTACACTAAACTAGTTTAATGGTCTTTCTAACCTTAATAGTGATAGTATACACGTACCAATATGAAGCTATATGGTTGATCGTGGCCATGATACGGTTCTAATCGCTTCAGCCCACCAATGAGGGCGACCAGTGGAAGCACTCAATGTACACACAACTTAAAACACACCGTCCTGTTGACTACATTAACCTCTACAAGGTGGACACTATGGCATAAATGAAAGCCGTGTACCGCAATTAGAATAGATGCGAATAAAACAGCGTCGTGGCCGCACAAGATAATCATGAAAGATTTCTGCCAGCATCAGCCCGATTATTCAGTAGATTAGGAATAAATTTCCATTAAGAGAACACAAGCTATGCGAAACAGGGAAAACGCCATGGGCGTACGAAATATGGGATGGCTCTCCCATATTCTATACAGGTGTCATCGTAGTTGGAGCACGGAGCCAGTAAAATGCACTGCAGAATGCTCTGCAGAATGCTCCAGCGCAGGTTGAATATTTGAACCAAAAAGCAAAAAGGTTTCTTTAAAAAAGAAAAAGAAAAAGAGTATTACGAACCGAAGAAAAAGCCTCCTATTGTCTCATAGGTACGCGTCTGAGACATTCTCAAAGCATGCATCTGTAAAACAGGGGATGATTTTATTAACTTTTTACATCTTCTAGTTCTGGCAGCGGCATTACTCGGAAGTGCAGATGGAAAGGTAAAGAACTTACTGTGCCATACAGGTCGCCAGCGCTTGGAGCGCGCATGGTTCAGTTGAGAGGTCCGGATGCAGGACTGGAATAGGAGCACAACCTTCGATCGAATGTGGTAACGATGCGGCGTGGGCGCGCGACTTGGCGTCTTCTTCACTCTGTCTCGAGACGAACATTTATTGGAGCATTCTTTAGCTAATTCACCCGGTTTTCGCGATACGCTATTTGGCCTCGAATGCGCCCCGCGTGGCGCCTCCACATACGCAGGACGTCTGCATTCGTACAAAATCCACATACGCAGGCACCGCGCGTATGCGGGCGTCGTCCTCGACGTCATCCTAGAGGTCGTCCGAGAGGTCGTCCTAGACGTTGTCCTCGAAGTAGTTCTGAGGCCCTCCTTGAGATGGCCCTAGAAATCGCCCTAGAGGTCGTTCTACACGTCGTCTATGACCTCATCCTGTAGGCCGTCGTCCTTGAAGTCGTCCTAGAGATCGCCCTAGAGGTTGTCGTAGACATCGTCTTCAACGTTGTCCTCTAGGACGTCGTCCTAGGCGTCGTGCTTGAGATCGCCAGAGATGTCTTCCTAGATCTCGTCCTGGACGCCGTCTTTGAAGTTGTCCTAGCAAGCAGATAAACCCGCGCCGCGCATACACGGAGCGACAGTACACATTCACATTTGCGCAGAAAATTCATTGAGTTGAGCTACACTCTGTTTCACCTTATGATGTACCGCAGAAAAGGCTACAAGCGCGAGCTCCTTGCTCTAGGGCACATCAAGGCGGCACAAGCTCTCGTGCGTTAAGAGTAGCTCCCAACGCTATTAGCTCGCGCTTCTACCCTTGTCTGCGGTACAACATGAGGTGAAACGGAGTATAGTTGGTGCATGGTCAGTCATGGTGGTGAAGCAGGTTACACAGATACAGGACAAGACACACGCGTACGTAGCTGCAATGATGGTGGGGAAACAGCAATAATTTTGTACTTTGCGCAAATACCGCTTAGGACGGATCCCTGATGTTAATGACCTGTGAAACAGCCGTTCGTTTTTCACCAGACGCAATCGATGTTGCAGAAAAGCTTTTAGCCTTTCCACTTTGGTGAAGAAGGAAGACAAGCGAAGCTGGTACTATGATGGGAATGAAGTCATGGCCGACCGCAAGTCGGCAAGCCAGAATGGAAAGGCCCGAAAGGTTGCGCCATCTATCAGCGACGGCGGCAAGCGCACAACCGGCAAGCACAACACTCGTCGGACAGCTACCGCCATCTATGAGCGACGGCGGCAACCAGAGTTTTGTGTCGACATTTCTTTACGGGGGACACGATCCTGGGGAAACTAGCCCTTAACAGCTCCGCTGTAAAATTAAAAAAAAACGAGCAGCATTCATTCCCTCAACTCGCAGCCAGAACAAGCGGCTACGTGATCTGGAGCCGATTATATGGCGCCAGGGATGATCATAGCCATGCGTTGCTCTTGGCAAAGCACAGGACACGCGCTGAGTTCCAGACATCGTTACGGTTCGGCTATTGTCATCATTGCAGCGATTGGACACGGGCCACTAACCGAGTGCTTCTCGAGCTATCGATTATCACGAGCCCAAATGAACTCATACAAAAATATCCTATACTGGCTGCCAAGAAAAGTTGTCGCTGAATCGTATGGCATCCCTCGCTCCACCTGCCTTATTTTTTCGGTGTTCCTTGAATAAAATAAACTGGACATACCAAGCGCTGACTTACAACTGGTTTTACTATGAAGAGAACATAAACACGCGCAATCTTACACGTGCCACTACATTGCTAACATCGCCCAATTACTTTAGTCTGTACAAGATATGCGATCTTTTTCATATAACGCAATCGACGGTGCACTGACACAGGTGCTTTCCTCGAACTGTCAAAATGTATGCTTTCGTTATCTCACGAGTCCTTTGGTTGGGGTGTAACGTGTCGCGTCATAACCTATGTGTCAGCAAATTTGGATGCACACCTACATCTATTGCAATGAAGCGCAAGATGTCCACTGGCGATGACTTATGAGAGTTATAGTATTGCGTATAGAAGCAAACGCAAGTGCTGAGCGTTTGCGTGCTCTAGCCTGGGCATGCGCGTCGTCACCATTCGCCAATCCAAAACGCAGTTCGAAGCTCCGCGCACGCTCCGTGTGGAACACGCAACGCACCGCAAACGCCCAGTGCTTGCATTTGCACGTATACGCAATACTAAAACTCACTATTAACTGCCAACGAGTGCTACCGCAATCTATCGTTAATACATCTACCCGACTGACCAATGTATACTTTGCCACATGACAAAGGGATTTCGTATACAATTCCCAGTTCAAATTCTAGGAACCTGTTCTTGCGTCTTTTCGCAGCGTATTACCGGACTTCACCTCCGTTCAATTTTTCCACAGAACCTCCCCAGTTTTATAGCCGCAGAGAACACCACGGGCACTGTTTCTCCGCTACCTTTTTTATCCGGTGGCTGACTTCATGTACGTACGGAACTACCACAGGTTCGATATTCTCGTTCATCGCCTCTCAAGGCATCTTGGCGGGCTTGCAATCACCGGTGACTTCTTCACGAGCACATGTAGAGATACTGCATGCCATGGTGCGCATGCTGCACGTGTTTGAGGCTTGTCGGCGTCCGTTAACGTGTTTCTGTTTGTCGCTCTAGTGGGACTCGGCCATGAGAAACGCCAATCATGAATTTTATCAAGGGGCTTTAGGAGCAACACACCCGGTGCGTCATTCCACCCAACCGGAAAGTCACGTGTCATGCTAAGGATTGGTTCCCTGTGGTTCGTAAGCGTCCCCTGCAGTCTGATGTAAGGTGAAACGGCGAGACGTTGTCTCCATGTTAAGCGCCCAACAAGCACAGAGCAATGAGGTTTGGTCTGAGAGGTCATCTTCTGCGGGGTTTTAACAACTCTGAGACGGTTTGCGATCTCGAGCTCAAATTTTAAAAGTTAAAGGGAGTCGTGAAACAATATTTCTATTTTCGCTGAATACTATATAAAATCACTCCCTAACGTTACTAACTGAATAAACTCGCCTTAGTTTTTTTTCTCCAAGCAATAACAGTTGCAAAAAAAAAAAAAATCGAGAAATATGAGCATTGTTTAGCTGCAGAACATAAGTCAGGATGAGGAAGAAAAATCAATTAAAAATATACCTCTATCGGTACCACCTGGGAAGGCACAACTGGTTGAAAGCCAATTTGAAATAAAAATATAAGGTGGCAAGTCCACCAAATGTTATTTTTGAAAATTAAAAAGCGGCCACGTAATTCAATAAATGCTGCAAAGTAAAAAAACAAACAAAAAAAAACACACACACACACAAAAAAAAAAAAAAAAGAACGCGTTTTGAGTTGTAGGCAATTTTAACCGCTGTGGTTGGACACGAGCCCCTACCCGAGTGTCCGCCGAGGCATTGATCGTTGTCAGCCGAAGTCGAGTGCTCACGCAGTTCTCGTGTTCAATTCATGAGCCGCGCTCGACTGTCGTCATGCGGGTGGTTTCGACCCCACAATTACTTCATCCAGCTTTGCAAAGGCAAGACTGAACTAAATAGTCCCCTTTTATTTTCAAAATTTCACCATGACAAAAAAAAAAAAAAAAAGTTTCTGGTTTAGTGGCGGCCTGTACGTCGTCAAGTTGACTAGAGTTGCCAGTGTAAATCTAGACACGGGTCAGATGCGAGAGCTCCAATGTCAGTCGGCAGTTCAGCTCCACCAAGACAGAAATGTTGCACCGTATGCCTGTTTTAGGCTGATTACCAACCTTTAATTAGCGCACCTCGAGGCTGCTCGTGGATTCCATAGGGCGCTTTGAACAGGTCAGTTTACAGTTACTATTGTTCAGTTCACTTTAGCCGACGTAGTCACGATAACAAGGCCGTACTGCGACAGTTCTACATCACCTACAGGATGCCAGCGCGGGGCACAGATTGGACACGAATCTGACGTCTGCGTTCGGCTGAAACTCGGGTTCAATCAGTGAAGACACGGGCCCCAGCTGAACATTGACGTCTAATTCATGTCCAATCCGTACTCCGCGCAGGCCTCCTAAACGTGATGCAGAAATTCTAGAAGTAGGGCCTTGCCACCTAGGTGTTGCGCCATGCGGGAGAACGGTTGCCGCGGTCTGACGTGCGAGTTTCACGTACCTATTGGCACATACCCAAGAAAAGTGAGGGGCTAAAGGCAGAAATATTTTATTTTAAGAAAAGTCAGAATGATTATAAAATAGCGCCTGTACATCTCTTTTCTACAAAATACTCTCGTTTAAAGAATCTGCTTTATAAATGGCACAGTAAAGGCTGTTGGCTCATACAAATGTACAAAACATATAAAACGTCGTACAACTATATATACACTATATAGACCTGCACATATATTACCTATGATCCTGCAATCAAATAAGCATAGTGCTACTACCACAGTGAGCAGTGATGCTAAGGTCCGGATTTCACAGCGCAAATAAGCACCTGTACTCTGTTTCACATATCGCACGCACGAACACCAAAGCTTCTCGCTGGCGTGCTGTGCTAAGTCGTTTGCTGCATTTCTTCAGCCTCTTCAAGGATTCAATATCTGGCCTCAACTCTGACGTAAAATTACTGAGGTTTCAAAATTTGGGCAACAGATGTTTGACACATGGATGTTATCGGTCGTATATACGGGTTTGACTAGTCTCAACTGGATGGTTTTGTCTGTAAGCTGATAACCGGATTATTGATTGAGGCATCAGGCAACCCAGAATAGTTTGGCCAAAAACTTATGCTATCATGCGTGCAATACGTGGAAGGGAGTGAAGTGTTCTCTGAAGCAGCTCTATGCATTGTTGTTGCAGATTCTCAGAAGAAGTTTTTCAAAGTAGGAACACAAGCACATTAAAAAAATATACACTATGCTATAAACTCTGCATTGACGTTTAAGAACCTATTAGGACAATAAAAGTGGAGGAACTTGTAAACTAAAAATATCTCTGCTGGGGACCATCCAGTACCTCTTATGGAGTAGCCTCAAATGAAGATGTTGCTTTCTATCAAAAAACCTGTTCAGCAAATTCTGAATAGCATCAAAAGAAACATTGGTAGTACATCATAAATGCAATTGGCACAGCACATATACACTTCAGGTTCACAACACATAAAGGTTGTGACATGGCAGCAAGTGAAAAAATGTTGGTTGCAATGTGAAAAAAAAAAAAAAAGAAAAACTGCTTTGTACAGATATGGTACACTGGGACAGCATCACATATGCACATGTTGCACACACAAATGCAAAGTGCTTGCAGCAGCTCACTATAGTGTGGCCTTTGTACTTAAAGGTCCCCAAAAAGTCTTGGTTTTAGTGTGCTTTGTTGAAAACATGGAATGCATGTCCAACTTTATCTCTTGGCTTCGATTTGTAGAATTAACTAATATTTTAGCAAAGTTATTGGGTTGAGATTTCCAAGAAAATAAGTAGACATGAACACTTATAACTAGTACTAGTGTGAAGGATTTTGGCAGATGCCTCTGCAACTGCCTATGAGACCATGTAATATGAGATAGTTCCCTTGAAGGTTACTATTACGCTAAAATATCAAAATTTTGACTGACGTGATTCTGTGTAGTGCAAGATCTCTTTCGTGGTGTTGCATAATCCCTAAAACACTATTTACACAGAAAAATATGGTAGAGGTGCTTTTAGCAGAAAACACCAGAATAATTGAGTGCAAAGAAAACAAAAACGAATATAAATTAAAACAATGAAACACGGATTGCAAGCTATTGACGACATTGCATCTGCCATGAAGTAACAGAAATAGAAACCAACAAAAAACAATATTAACAAAATGGCAGAAAAACCAATTCCTATGGCAGGCAGGGTTTGCTTTCTACACATGCACACCATTTAGGTGCTTACCATTTAATGGCATTCATCATGAAAACTGCCAATGCCACACATAGCAGAGCTCTTTGGATAAAATATAGTTCATATAGAAAAAATAAAACACTGAAATGGATGGATGGACAGACAGTCACAGTTCTTTCTTTTGAAAGAACTGCTAGTGTATGTCTTTCATCCATTTCAGTGTTTTATTCTTTCTGTGGGAAGTGCCAATGCCAAAAGCAATGCTAAGCTGCAGTGGTTGTTTCAAGAGGACTGATATATGTTGACATGTAACCAATTAGGAGGTGCCAGGTAGTGTCTTAAAATATAAACTTAATAAACTTTCAGCTGCATAATCTTATGTGTCATGAAATACAAGTAAACTAAAGAGAAAATGCCATTATGATTGCTAAAAATTGTAGAGATGTGCATAATAAAAAAAAAGAAGAAAAACCTGAAGTATTCAACATCTTTTTGATTTAGTCAGAAATAAAACATGCAACAATTAAGCATAAGAATAACTCCCAGTCTTGAAAGCGGTTATACAAAAAGATATAGAAACACACCTCATCCACTGCACTGACATAGGTATTGTGACAGATACCATACCATTATGGATATCAAAGCACCAAGAAACATGCTAAAAGTGTAGTTATGTGTGTTGCACATGCTGGCATCTGCAGTACTAACTGTTCTAAAGCAGACTTAAAACGAATTGAAATTTGTATGTGCATTCATCAATGCCTCATTTTGGTGATTTACTTTGAATCTTTTATACTAATAAATGCGAGTCCGTGCAGCACATATATCAACGTCCCCAGAATTCTCCTTTGTGCTTGGGTAATTTGGAAAATGCCTATTGGAAGCAAGGTGATGTACTTTCCAAGAGTTGTGACTTTGCTCTTGTAAAAGAAAAGCACAGCATTTGCAGCAGATTCACCTTCAAAAAGCAGGTCTGTTGCATAACGAGATCCAATACAGTTAAGGCTTAGCTCGCAAGCGGGATAATGGAGGTCACAGAAGATGAAAGAAAACAATTTCTTTCTTCTCAAGAGACATTACTTCAAAGTTCTCGAACAAGAGCATCGAGCAGCATCAGCACAAGCAATGCCTGCATAAAATGTAAATAAATAAAAAAAAAATAAATTAACAATACGGTTTCAAAATGGTGCAAGTCCTCACAATAAAAATTACATTACTAATTTTTAGATTTTGCTTGGTGCCTGATGAGCATTGAAGGAAGAATAAGAACTGTTGCAGAGACGTCTGCTGTTTGAGGCGATTTTGATAAATGTAAATGTAAATTTCGGTAAATGTAACTGCATATGTGCGATTTGCGGACATATAAACCAAACCAAAATCCCCAAAACAGGTCAGATAGTGCCACTATGGGCCCGACATGAGGAGTGCAATGCATCGGCTGCAGATGAAATTAAAACACATTTGCCTGAAAATGCAAAGCTTAAAATTCAAATGCACAAACAAATGAAAAAGAAAAGTAAATGCAGGAACGAACTGTTGACAGAAATTGTGTGTGTGGTATACACTGCCACGAGTGGCAAAAAAAAACAATAGAGCTTACTCTACTTGTAGTAAACTTTGTCTTGCATCGTCTACCCAACCACTTTTCCAGCAGCCACCTCAGTGCTTCGGAGGCAAAGCGCTGAACTGTGGATCCTTGGGTGGCGGGTTCGAATCCCGGCCAAGGTGCCCGCAATCTGAGAGGCATATTGTGGAAAAGGCGCCATGTTACCGAGCTTTCAGTTACACATCAAAAGATCCTCAGGTGATCGAAATTAATCCTCAGTCATCTGCTGGGATGTGCCAGATGCCCTGTGCTGGTTTGGCATGTAAAGAACTCCAAATTGTGACTTCTCTTGCACAATCGGTTGTGTTTCAGAGTTTTCCATGCCATTACGATTCAGAGGTATGAAAGGGTTCAAAAGTCAATGGCAGCTCCGAGGTTGTGAATTGTTGTGAAGGAGCACTTGGCAGGTGAAAAAACTGGAGAAGAACTGACAGAACCTGCTGGACGAAATGGCAGCATTGACACTAAACGCATAATTGCTAGGATAGGTGCGAATAAAAAAGAGGATTTGTGGCACTTCCTGCTCCATAAGGCAGGCCCACCAGTTCGCATTCAGACTATCATTTTCACCTAAAAAACCGGACAAAAGCAGCAGCCGGCGATGTTTCAAAATAAAATGCACCGTAAAATAAACCGCTAGTCAGCGGATCCCACCGCCTTGGGAGGCAAGCAAAAGGGGTAACACTTCAGAAACAAGGTTTGCGACAAGCGCCACAAGCACCCCACAGTGAAACAACACAACAGCTGAAGGGTTTAAATAGGGACTGAAAACACGCAAAACCTTCCAATTTTTCAAACTGGGCAAACGTCAAAGAGATCATAGCGCACACCACGAAAACATAAAACCAAGCAAACCAGGCAAGGCTCTATAAAACATACTTTGAAAAAAACAAACAATAACAAGAATGTCCGTCGTTTACCCGCAAGCAGCCGCGAGGAGAGGGCTGTTCCCTTGTCAGCTGCCGGACGCGGCAGTGGGCATCGACGTGTTGCAGTTACCGTGGTAGATGTCTACCCTGCCCTCGCACCGGTGGTAGTCGTCGAACACGTGCGCATAACCGTGCTCTTTCCACCACTGGCAGAGCTGCCGGTTCCACGTGCACGGCAGTGCATACACAAGCTCGGGCCGCTCGCACGAGAGCACCGTGTAGAAGTCCTGATCCCCCAGATGTCCTTGAAATCTGTACTTGGATGTGAGGTACTCGACGCCCTCGCGACTTGACAGGTTCCTGAACGCAGAGGACAAGGCCATGCGGTGCAGGTCCAGCAACAGCACACCACTATTGAAGCCCGGGTTGCCCTGTGGCAGAGGCAGGCTGCACCGGGTTTCTGGGTGCCTCTTGCGGTGCTCGTGGAAGAGGTGGAGGTACGTGGGCTGCTGCTCGTGCGCCATGCCCACGAGGGCAGTTTCGGGGAAGAGGGCGAAGTGGCGATGGAGGAGCCACACGTCCGACTCGAGCCGGAGGTCGATGTCGAGGAGGATGAGGCGGCGGAGGGACAGGACACGGTGCAGTCCCAGCGAGAGGAAGAAGAGGGCGTTGCTGTAGAAGCCCGACTTGGGGCTGAAGTGGAGGTGCATGTAGCTGACCAGATCCCGGAAGGGTTCCAAGACGTCGTTCACGTCAAAGAATTCCACCTGCGAGGCATAGATGCAACAGCTGCTACAATGTCTGGAAGCACCGCTCCTTTTTCTTTTCTCTAGTGGAAAACCCTCCCCCATAATATATGGCTTTAGATGCGTCTGTGAGAAAGCAGAGTGACCGCTCGATTCTCGCAAACCGTCTCTCTGCACCTCGGCATCTCCAAAGTGAAAATGTTAAGAAAATTAGCCTACAGTCACTGACGGGAGGAGAATGCCAGGGTGCCTGGCCCCTATCACTCGCTCATCGCCTTGCGCTGTGCTTTGGCTGCATGGGCACGCTCAAAGCTAACGGGACGCTGAAGCGTTGCTGAAGGTAGGATACTTGTGCCGGAGACGAGGCAATTGACCGAATGACCTCCCTGCCATTCTTATCTTGCAAGTGATTGTAACATTCAAGCCACGTCAAGTTACTTTTATTTCATGAGATACATAGTCACTGGAATGTCGGGGAGGAATTATTTACAGATTCTAGGTTTAAATGTAAGGACACATAGCTATGATCACTTAAAGGGATGCTGAAACTAAATTTAGAGCTCACAAAACAAGGCTGGAGCGATAGGCGGGACGCTGCAAAACCTAAAAACATCATTCATACAGCGATATCTTTAACAAATGGCCATATTTTCGGGAAAGAAGTACGCAATTGAGCACTGCCGTAGAGGCTGACGAGACGTGTGATGTCGCCAATTCTTATTCCCTCTCCTCTTCGCTTCGTCCCCACGAGCAGGTGACCCCAATTGAGAAGCAGAGAAGCGAGGCCATTTCCCCTCATTTTTAACTGCTCGAAGAGAATAGTGAGATCACAATACTCTTTTGATTGCACCCTTCTTTTCCAAATATACGGCCATCCATTTGGGATATTGATGTACGAGTGATGTCTCGGAGTTCATAACGTCCCGTTCGACGCTTCTGCAACCTTATTATGCAAAATCCAAATTTCGGTTCAACGTCCCTATAAAACATTGAGTGTGAAAGCACCTTTTTGCGCATCTACTACCACAGCTATACACCTTTCCAAAAAACGCTCCTAGGCCGCCGCCATGTTGCTGATGCTGATGCGGCTGGTGCGACTCTCGCGCCCTCTATCAGCTAGAAATTTTCTGCCACTCTCTGGGACTGTGAAGACCCGCTCAGCGTGGTTCGCTAACTACGTTTTTGCGGTTTTGCATTTGACGTTTTCTCGCCCCTCTTGAAAGTTTCCACTTAATCTTTTTTTATGCGTGCTGCGTACCCTTTTTGTGTTATCTTCCATTGTGAGAAAGAAGGCTGGTAAGTGCCTGCCATTCAAGCTTTTCTGCTCGACATTCACGGGAAACGAAGAAGGTGAAGGACGTCGAACGACCCTCGACGCGATTTTGCGAACACTGTTCTCCCCCCTCCCAGAGATAATCCGCGTAGAATCCTCAGTCATCTCCGAAAATAGTTGTCCGGGTTGGGGTGAGAAACGGGTCAGTCGCGTTTGTTTCTTTTCCTTGGTGCGGTTGTGAAAGAAGGAAGCTCTCCCCAAAATGTGCCCCAAAACGAAGTCATCTCGGATTCTGTCCGATCGTTAAGATGTGACTGTCGTCGACTGTGACTGTGTTATTTGAGATCTTTCTCATATAAATTCTTTTCGGATAATGCTGCATCGTGTGGTACGTACGATATATTGTTCGGATGTTAACACTTCCTGAATTGTATATCCGTGTCCTGTCCATCGGTAAACACGTTATTTGTGAGCGTGAAAAATGCATGCCTTTCGGCCCTCTTCTGTTGCAATTTATTTTCGACAGCAAAGCGCTTTGTCGTTTCACATGCGGCGAATCCCGCGGCGCCGTCAAAACTTATCCTAAGAAAAAAACAAATAACTAGAACTAAACATTCCAGTCGCATTTGTTCTGTCGCGCGCGTACCCAACAAAAATAGTTGACAGCTTTTTTTTTTTTTGCTTTTTTTGTTTTTCAAATGTGGCAAAATGCTTTCTCAATGTTTTCGGGAACATACATACACCATGAAACACAAAATATAGCGGGAAAATACGAGAATTTAGCCGCCAGCAGCGTTTGAAACTACGCCTACGCAGGCTGCGCCTGTTGAAATCACAGTCCCCTCGGTTAGGGTTAGGAGGGAAGCCGGTGAGAGTCTAGCCTCAGACTCAGTGACTGGTCTCGAAAACGGTTTGTTGCCCCTGGGGTCGAGTGTCTTTTGGAAAGGTGTATACTCCGCAACAACTTTTCTTGGCATTTCCGGGGAGAGGAGGAGAGCCCGCGCACAGCTTTATTCAGCGCTCAAAATGGGAGGGGGAATGCGTGCCTGCGCCTTCCACTGCATTGCCAAAAAGAGTTGTCGCAGAGTATAGTAAATTTGTTAATGTCAAGAAAGCCTATCTGCAATCTCGACACGAGCTGTAAGCATGCCTATAAAAAATGGTTTGCTCTGCAACTAACCTACCCTCCTCTTGTAATAGGGAGTATTCACGTGACGTCCCCATTCAGTGCGGTCCTAACGTTGTGGTCATGGTATGTGCACTAAAGTGTTAAGGAAACACATCTGTGTTCGCGGTTCTGCTGTCTTGTGCGATGTTCTCACCAGTCAGTTTATTATTTGGACGTTTTTGCGTTTGTGTGCACATTACCGACAGTCACTGTGCCTGCTTTAACATCCAGTCACTTCACTGAGCGCAGAATGCAAGCAAAGTGAAGTAGCAGCTTGATAATGTGCCAGAGACAGCATTAGTTTAAGAATGCCCTCTACATCAGACAAGAGTGATCATATAATAATAACAATAATGCTAGTTGTATGTATTGGCAGCCATTCCCATTTGCAATCATAATATAAAAACAACAAAGACCATTTGCATTCACATTACGTATGCCGTGAAACAAGCCTAATCGTTTGGCCGATTGCAAATTTTCAACTCTGGGAGCTTCTCAAGAAAACGGTGGTAGCAGCAAACATTGAAAAAAGAACTGAAGTTTGGAACATTATTTTCACAGACTCTATAGTGGGTCACAATTCCGAGTGCTCGTGCATTGGAAAATTTAGGCATTGTTGTCTCACTTAGATGGCATATTAAAGAGTTATTACCATAGAAGGCTAACCATGAGTTTACTGCCCGAGACAGCCATTCAGAAAGGTAGTGATTATTTCGACGTCCACTTTCAAAATAATTTTTCATATTATTTTGCCGTCCGTGATGCCACATCCTGAAGACGCGAAAATGTCTTCAAAAACATTGTGACATCCCCCACTAAAATATTGTTGTCATTATTTTGATGTCTCAAACTTATAATTTTGGAGCTTTGAGTCAGGAATGGGGAGCAAACGAAGGGGGCGGTCAAAAAAATATCTTGCTTGCAGTCAGCGTCGTGGTTCAACACACATTTTCCGAAAACAAAAGTTATTCAGTCGACTGCTGTTTTCATGACCTATTAAGTGATGTGGAAAGCAAAAATAAAAACTTCTCAAAGTACATCAGCTATTAGGCCGCACATAATGCTTCCTTGGTCGTGCCAAACATTACAAAATGGTGCACCGCTGCTTTTCATGATTTATTTCAAGCGATTTATATAGACAAAGGAGCTGATTGTTGTGTCATAAAATTTGCAGTTGATTGGAAAATGTGTGTATTTCATACTACTGTGCCAGAACCTTTCCTTGTCAAGAAACATCAAGGAGGCAATGTTTACATTGACAACCTTTTATTTAACATCCCAAACTTTTCATAGTTAGCCCGCTCGTTATACACAAACCAAATAGAAAATCTAAACTAAAAAACAAACTCACGAAACAATTAAGACAGGGCGGCAGCCAGTTGCAAAGCGAGCCTGCAACCCATGCTGCAACTGTAAGAAGACACACTCGTACGATATAAAGGCACAAAAAGTGTGTCAAATTTCACAGTGCTACATAGTGTAGGCACTTACATTTGTTATGTGCAGGCAAGACAGAGGGATATCCAACTCGCCTTTGTTTTAGAATCAAAATTTGAAGTGAGACGCATGCCGAGGTGAGCTGCAAACTCGGAACGCTCAGAACATCGCCGCCGTGCGAGTCATGTCCAACCCTATGAACTGTCGAGCCAGTCCCACACGCTAAACGAGACATTTCCACTGCCAACGAGGACCGAAACTTCTTAGGCACGCAACAGATGAATCTGTCAAAACGCCAACATAACACCGCCAACACCATCAGAAACTAAAGAAAACGAAACCACAAAATGGCTACCAGTGTGATGGCCGATTTTGTTGGCGACGGCTGCATTGAAGAAGGACGTAGAAATAATAAACCCACAATTTTGATCTTTTACGGAACTTACGTCAAAGACGTCGAAATAATTTCTATGATATTTTGACGCTGGACGTCGAAATAGTCACTGCCTTTCAGAAACTAGTCGGTTCAGAATATTATTTACTTCCTTCCCATTGACGCTGCCTGGCATGACAGGCCAATATTTTTATCAAACTTTTGATGATCATGTAGGACATTTTGGGTGAAATAAATGTCTATCTGAATTTATTGTTATATAAATATGTATATGTATGCCCACTCTCTTGTGTAATACCCCTTATGGGTTCTGAAGGAAAATAAATGACAATGATGAATGGCTCGTTTGTTTTCTAACGGACTACAGTGCAAGTAACCACACACAGTGCTTATGTCATGAATCGAGGCTTTTACCACACCGAAGGTGATTGGAGGAAATATATCTTCCTTTGCTGGACCATTTTGAGTTGAGTGAATATTCCCTGCACCAGCTGGGCGATTAAATTTGTTTAGACAGGTACTGCCATCTTATACAAAATTTATGCAACTCTGAGACAGTCCACGGCCACAATCCTTGGACTCGATCTCGAGCTTGAAAGTCCGAGTGCCTTGCCGAACTGCGATGCACTGCTTGTGCCCAATCATTCAGTGACTTGGCCTGCCAAAAGCTACCCTTCTTGGCCATCAGCCATATTGGTTAGCAACTGGCTGAGGCACCTCCTGTTCGTTGCTCTGGGGTTATGGTCCGTTGGAGAAAATAACTGCTGGCCAACACCATATTCAGCAATTGTGCATATGACATAGGCTTTGCTCACTCTCTGAAGTGACAAACATGTGCATGCCGGCCTGTGGATTTGCAAAAATTGGAAAAATGCACATGAAGGAGAAATAAATAAAAAAACAGGAGGGGCCATTTTCAGAAGCAGACTGGGCAAAATTTGTAGAGGAATGAAGAATCAGCAGCACGCAAGGAAAAATGCTCAGATGTCCTGTTGTAACTGACAGGCTCGCCTCCTAAGCTCAAAGTTGCTTTGCCTGTCGTAACACGGAACAATCTAAGCAATACCATATGGTCTGTATATACTAGTCACAGACCGTATAGGATTTCGCTATTATAGTGGCAGCTACTGCAAACAACAGCCAACGTGGAATGTGGGGCTTGGACACTAGACAAGCCGCATAGCAAAGGTGCACTAAAAAAAAAAAAAACGCTCATAAAACTGGAAACTAGAAATCGAACCTCGTCTGGGTCTGGCATAACCTCGCACACTGAAGGCCTGCAGCAATTGTGCATATGACATACGCTTTGCTCGCTCTCCAAAGTGACAAGCACGTGCATGCAGACCTGTGGATTTGCAAAAATTGGAAAAATGCATACGAAGGGGAAATAAATAGAAAATCAGGAGGGGACATTTTCAGAAGCAGCCTGGGCACAATCTGTAGAGGAATGACACAATCAACAGCGCGTGAAGAAAAATGCTCAGATTTCGTGTTGTAACCGACAGGTTTGCCTCCTACGCTCGAAGTTTATTCGCATGTCGTAACAAAGAACAATCTAAGCAAAACCATCTGGTCTGTCTTGGAACAACAGTCGACGTGGAATGTGGGGCTTACTCTAGACATGCCGCATAACCAAAGTGCAAAAAAAAAAAAAAAAAAAAAAAAAAAAACGGCAGTAAAAATTGGAGACTGATATAGGACCTCGTCTGGGTCCGGCCATAACCTTGCACCTTGAAGGCCTGCAGCCAACGTTTGCGCCAGAAAACGCCAAACCCGACAGGACGTAGAGCCAACACAAAAACGAACCGAAGCGAAGGATTAAAAGGCGCACGACCTGCGGCCGAGAAGGGGGAAAACGCATCGCATAAAAGTTGTTCAACTTGCCAAGCCGCTTTGCGCGGGCGGGACCTCCCAAACCACCGCGCAACGTTTCTCCCGGGACCCCGCGACCGACGCGAGGGAGGGAGGGGGGTCTCGTTTGGAGCGGGGGAGAAGTGGCCTTCTGCCGCTTGCTCTTGCTTTGTTTGTTTTTTGCGAAGAAGTAGATTGGACTTACCGTGATGCTCACCGCACACCCCACCGAAGCGTCCACGAGCACTTGCTTGGCGACTTCTTGACTCGGGGCGTCCGTGACGATATGCAGGTGCAAGGGTGCACTACTGCGCCGAAACATCGAGGTCAAGCAAATGGAAAACTTTTCGCGCAGGTTCCGAAATTCCCGGGCCCGCGTGAACACGAGCATGACGTCGACGACTTCTCGGCGCTCGCTCGACGCTTCGTGCGCGTGGTCCCGTCGCGTCGTTGTGTTCAGCCGAAAACTGTCGATGCTTCTGACCTGCGTGGTTGTCGCTGCTGCGGCGTTGGCGGTGATGTTGAAGTCGGGGGCGGGGGGTCGGTGGCTGCGGCGAAGCGTAGCGGTCCCCGGGGTGGTGAATGGGAGCTGGCAGTAGTCTTGGTAGAGCAGGAATGCGACGCTGGCCATGCCCAGGAAAGCGACGAGGAGCTTGGTCTTCGAGCGAAATGGAGCGCTCGACTCCATTCCGAGGAAAGTTCGCCGCCCCCAAGCGACGCTACATCGCCTCGGCCGCCATCGAAGATTGCTCCATGCATCGCTTTTCGTGACGCCAGCAACTTTCTGGGGGTGGTTACTCCCTAGAAGAAGTTCACAAAAAAAAAAAAGCTAAACAGAAAATAAAAATTTAGAACTTTAGGAACGCGTTTTATGTTTCAAGACATTAAAAAATCGCATGAAAATCTAGAGTAAATTTACATTTTTTATGGAACGTTCCGTTTTGCATAAACAATCGGCGAACTTGTTTCCCTACGCAAGTTCGAAAGTCGCCAGATGTAAGGAAAGTCCCTAGGAGGCTGACCCAGCGATCTTTGCGGATGCTTTTCTGCCGGCCTTGCCGCAAAGTGCGCAAAGTGCACGACCTCGTCTTCCCTCTCCCCACCACCCTCAACTCTTATTCTCTCCGCTTGACAAGGCCGTGGTGCTCCTCCGATGACGTCACGGACGTTGGCCGACGGACGCCGCGGTACAGTATGGAAGTGAGCAAATCGCGCGTAGATTTGCCGTCGTACAAACGAATTTTAGTGAACGAGAACGCGCGTACTGAGCTAATCGTCTGTCCATAAACAACATTTCGACTCGGAAATATATTTTACTGCACAGAAAGCAATCAAACGCAAATAACGAAAAAAAAAAAAAAAAAAAGGCTGAGCGTGGAGGAACTATTGTATGAACGACGTTTGACAGTCCAAACTGGTTTTATTAGATAAACTGTCAGCTGTAAGCAATTATTGAAACAAAATATATTTCTTTGCAAGATTATTATCAGAACATTCATAATTGTTAAAAAAAAAAAAAAAGAAAAGAAAGCGAAAATGCGGTTATCATGATTTCTCGAGACAGATATGTGTGGTTTGTTTAAGCCGTAATACTGTGTAGTTATCGCTGCAAATAGTGGACTTAGTTTATTATGAGTTTAACCCTTAACTGGAGCAAGCGGAGAAAAATATTTTCCCAGAGGTAGAAAAAATAAACAGGGACAAACACGTCTTTAACTCAGCTAAATGATTTGATTGAACCATCTTCCCTATATACAGATCCGCTACGCCATAGGACCCATAAATGATAAATTCCCCCCAGCTCGCCTGCGCACTGTATGTATATTCGTCAGTGTTGTAGGCGTTACCGAAAAAAGTGACAAAACTCGTTACCTGGTTCTTGCAAGTAAAAATAACGCGTTACAGTCCTACGTTACTTCAAGATAAAAGGAACGCGTTACTGTTACCGTTGCCGATAAAAAGTAACGCACGTTACTTTTGCGCTACTTTTTTTAAATTATGAATGAACACGGTTTACTGTTTTGACGTTACAGGCATGCATACGCGCCATATTTTAAGAAATATTATGTCCATGCAGACTCTGAACGTAGTTACTTTATATTTCTTACGGTTTCACTTAAATACTAACAAAAAAAGAAAAACGCAAAAAAACTCAGAAATTCACATGGCATAGTGCCTAGAAACACGCACACACACACATACACACACAAACACACACACACAAAATTGGTCTAACTTTTTAAGTTTTCGGAAGAAAAGTAACAAGTAACGTAGCTCCCGTTACACGTTATTCGAAATATGTAACGTAAATACGTTACCCGTTACTGTCTTGAAAAAGCAACGAGCACGTTACCGGAAATAAGTAGCGCGTTACCAGTAACGCCGTTACTTGTAACGCGTTACCGCCAACACTGATATTCGTGGACATCCACTTCGGTTCTCGAGCTTTCTAGTAGAAAAAAAATGTAATTCAACGTAGTTCAGGTGTGTCACCTACGTAAGAAATTACTTTATTTTTCAGATATCTTATTCATGAGCTTTAATAGACCTATCTCGGAGAAATATATGTGAGCAAAATGCCTCTCTTGCACCACGACACAAGCTTCAAATGAATACCTACGTCTGCTTTACCACACGCATACAACAGCTAAAATAACACTATCGAGGCTTCAACTGCACTTGACACCTGTAATGTTAGTTCGGCTAATTAGACTTTTTTTTTTTTGCACTTTGCAGACTTCAATATGGTTAATCGTCCACAACACTGTTTACGTGCAGGAGCAAGCACCACATATATAAATTGAAGAAAACTTTGGTTCAGTTTCTTAGTAAAATTTTTACCATAACGCTGGAAAAAAAATTGCACTAGAATATTGGTGCCACATAAGTTTTGAAGTGAAACTGAATAACAATGCCGATAATAGAAAACAAATATATGAAAACTTGAGCATATTGTACTAGAGGAATCCCACAGCTTCAAGCATTGAAGGGTGGAGTCATGAAATTGGGGTACTAATTAACTCTCAGGTATACATAGCGTGTATTCTAAAGGGTTTCAACAAGCAAATAATATCACGGACAACCACATAAGCCCAACCATAGACGCAACCCAGCAAAAAATTATTCTGCAACCGCGTCTTGTACAGCACGCAACGACAGTCATTCGCTTCCTTTTTGAGTTCGGGTCTTCTCTCTCGATCTAAAATGGACCGTAAAATTCGACGCCTGCATGTAGCAATCTAAACTTTTCGTCAAAGCTGTATTTCACAGGCCAGTTTTAGAGCGCAGCTCTCAGGCGCCCGTTTCCGGCTTGAGCAACGTCACCATCGCCGTCGGCGTAACCGCGCGTTGCATTATGGGACGTCTCCCATAATGACGTGTGACGCCACGAGGGTCACGAGGGACGTCACAAAGGTCAGTCGCGAAGGTCACGACCTTCACAAGGCCTTCACGAGTGACGTCACTAGGGTCACGAGTGACGTCACGAGGGAGGAGGAAGGGAGGGAGAGGAGGAGGGGCATACCCTCCTCTCCGTAACCTTTCCTCCTCAAACGCTGCGCTCTACACTCTAAGAAAAAATGGAGGAAAAAGGTAGCAACGGCGCGTCCTCCTCCCTTCTACTGAAGCGCCCCCAAGCGGACACGAGAAACAGGGAGGAATGAAACGTTTTTCTCCTTCTCCAGGCAGACGGGAGAAAGCTTTCGCCCCCCCAAATCATCTTCTTTCGGTTTCATTTTTCGAGCACGTCGCGCACGTTGTTTTATAAATTTTGTTGATTTGATTGAGCTTCAGCGGCAGCGAGGCCGCCTGTAATTCCGTCTTCTAATCCAAACGTGCAGAACATTTCGGTTGCACTGACGTTTTTATCACTAATTTTATCAAACGAGCAAACGAAGCCGCCAGAAACAGCGAAGTTTCGGAGCAGTGCCAGCAGCGCTATGTACACTGGGTAAGATGCATAGAGATCATCAAGGAGGTTATAATGGGCAGGAGGTGGCGTCCCTATCCCCAATGCATGGAGCGAAGTGTAACGGAAGTAGGCGTGGCCACGAGCCGCAACGAGCATTTCTTGACCAATGGGAAGCCTAGTGAGTGGGCGCCGCCATTAATTTCGGTGCAAACAACCGCGTTGCCAAGACATTTCCGTGGCAACGCGAGTGTGTGCACCGAAAGTAATGGCGGCACCCACTGTTATTTGAAACAGCGCTTAACGGGAGACTTTTATATTATAAACGAACGCCTGGTTGCCCAGCAGAAAGCAAGTGACTAGAATTGAGACGCTCTAGACGACGCACCGTGAAGGACTCGGCGGTGCGCAACGCATTTTTTAATAAACAGCAGCAGCAGATCGCACGAGCGCGCATGCAAGCCAGGAGCGCACAGAACGGGCTCGCGCTTCCAGTTCTGACTTCGCTCGCACATAACGTGGAACTAAGTATAAACACTCACGCTGCAAAGCATTTGCATCGTGGACGCCCACGGCGGACGCCGACAGCATCGAAAGCTAGCCTCGTGAAGCACACGCCGGAGCAGATTAGAAAGCAGACGAACCGCCGGTGCGCCCCACGGCCTCGGAACGGGTGCGCAAGGCAGTCTGGGATTAAACGCATCTTCCGGCTTCACTCAGGCTGACGTCATGCCGGGTCCTGTCTGTTTAAACGGTTTAAACGTCCTTGGAGATCATACATACTAACTGTAGAGGAAAAGGTCCGCCATTTTCCCATGCATTCTGGCTTCCGCAAGCGGCGGAGCTTGCAGGCAGACCTTCGGGGTTCTACACATGGTTACCAACCTGCCTACGATTTCACGAACATAATTATATCATTAGAGCAGTGTCATGAACTTCAATAATCCACGAACTTACCGGTGGAAAGATATTCGCGTTCCTTTCGAAGCTTTCTTTTTGCATAGCGCGCACGTGTACGGCCTCCCGTCAAAACTAAACTAAACCAGATAACCGACTTCGCGGGTGGCCGCGCCTGGCCGCGCCCCAGGAATACGAAACCGAGCAACCACCAGATTTCCGAGATTTCAACAGAAGAAGTATACTGCTTTTTATAAGCGTTAGAATAGCTCAGAATTTAGTTTACAACGTTAAATTATCACTGTCTATATTGATAAGAGTTTTCAGTCCTCGCGATTAGCATTGCGACTGCCGTCCTTCAGCTGGCAACGTTGGTTTCTTTCTCTCGTGTTCTGTCGCTCTGTTTCGCGGTCTTTCACTCGGGACCCAGGATGTCGGCGCACGGGATTTGCCCAACACCACCTAGAGCTGAAGGCCGCAGCGCTCCTTCGGTGACGTCACACGAGTCGTCTGGCGAGCGCCGCGTAAAAGTGCTGCACTGAAGGCGTCGCGCATAGATTTACCGACGTAGATGGCATTTTTTATTGACCTAAACGTTTGTTAATTGGTCAAACAGGATTTATAAATATCTATATGACTGGGAGACATAATTTGTTACATGGGCAGCATATTAGGACGTGCCATTATAGTTATGATACGCAAGAACAAGGATAACGACGTTTTGGGAGAGATGGGTTTTCGTTTTATGCATCCACATCTTGGGTGCTTTAATTATTTCTAGGAGTGAGAAGACACAAACAAACAAAAAATAAATTCCCTGAATTGTTATTGTAAGTGATGGGACCCGCCAAAATGCATAACAGCAACAATCCAGTTTGATAAGACATGTGTGGTTAATGAATTCGTATGCGAAGCTAATGAAAATATTAATAAAAATATGTGGACTTTTGGAGCACGAAAAGATGCAAAGAGTTGAAATGTACTTTTTACCA